GGCTAACTATCGGGCGACCGCTGACCGGTCGTCCACCCGAAATAAAAAGAGTAGGGCCCTCAACTGAACGACCAGTTGAGATTCTTCGGGTAGTCTTGTCGGAACGATCGGGGAAAATTAGGGGGTCCTAAGATAAACTTTGAAATTCTCTGCATCGATCGTTGGTACTAACCCATTAATTTGATAAGTTGGACACCCGCCTCTACCTCACCTGGCACTTGCTTTTTCGCCTATTCTAGGGCTGTCTTCTAATCAGTCAACCACAGAGCGAGGAAATATTAGTAAGCCTTCGAGTGCCCCCTTTTATGCTGATCAATTGACAGGGAAATGAGACCTCAATTTTCATTTAATCTAATAAAGAAATTAAAAATGAGTAAAAGAATTAAGAATGATAAAAAGAAATGAGAACAAATGATTATTTTATTATTTAACTATTTTTTTATCAAATTTTGTTCTCGATTGATTTTTGCCAAAAGTTATCTATTTATTCCTCTTCATCGATTTAAACGGATGTTCTCTATTTATAATCCCTCGCTAGATTTGCCCAGTTTTCCTAATTAGTACTCTTGTTACAACCCCGGGCTATCGAGTGAGCGGGGTCCATACCTTGCTGAATTCCTACGGCCATTGGTTACATCGGCGGATCGGTCGGCCTGGTTCTCTCGCTACGGCGTCTATGGTACAGGGACGGTCTGACGAGGTTATTTCCTGATACGGTACTGCAGTCCAAATCGGGACTGCCGCAACTCACTAATTTGGCACTGGTACATCGACAGTGCAGGCCACTACAATTTAATGCGACAAAGTTGGTACAGTCGTTGGTTGGACACTGGCCCAGTTTTTTGCAGTTCGGTACACTTATTTTTGGTATGGTCACTGACCTGGCACCAACACGGCACTGGAACAACATACTATGGTTTGACTCTTTTATTTTGGGTATGGTCACTGGTTCGACAATGGAGCAACGTACCTCAGCGCGGTACTATTGTGTTGATGGATTCTGGCCTGTGACATTTGTGCTGCTAGGTACGACATCGGGTATGGAACTACTACAACTCACATTGGGTTGATGACATTAACTTGGCGCGGGCGACAGCAAATTGGCTTACTAATTCGGTACAGTAACTGGTTCAGGAATGACACAGAAACACTCACCGATTCGGGGCTGGGCTGGGCCCACGGACGTTGGAGTTCATGGTACAGGGCTTGAGGCCACCACCCACTCTACTACTGGAAAATAATGATTCCTCGGACCCTGATTCAGGCCTACAGGTTTAAGCCCTTGGTACCAACCGCGGGAACTGCTGCTGTGAGAGGGGGAAGACCCTGTCCCCCTGGTATCGTTGGCATCGAGGGACCTTGAGGGCGCTGAGGTCAAGGTCTCGGGGAAATAAAGGTTGGGCCGACATTGGGACAGGGAAAGACTCATAGCAAGTCTGGCGTCCGCAGCGCACGTAAGCAAAAGATTCGGTTAAGGGGCAGCCGCGAGCGGGCTGAACTTGGTCATTCGGACGAGGGACAAGAGAATTGCGTGCCCGGCGTACCCAACTTTTCGCACGCGCCGGCATCTTGGATAGCAGGCGTGCACTTTGAACTCTGCATTGCAATGTTATGCAGACAACAACACAAGGAAGTGGTGCGCAAACCAGATGTTCACAACTTTTCTGAGCGGCAGATGGGATACGCAGAATTGACGTTTTAATTTGCAACACCGCATGCTGTTGAGCTCCGGCGTATGACTGGGTGCGTGGTCACTGCCACCACAACTATGGGGAACGGAGGTATGAAAAGGACTGGTCCTCTTCTCTGAGGGGGCTTATCTGTTGTCTCTTACCTTACGAGAAAGAGAGAAAAGGTCGACGACCAATGCTCATTATCCTGAGTAAGGATCCTCTTCAGCCCAGGTGAGTAAGAACCAGGGTGGATGGGGACCCATATGCATAGCTGATGAGGTGAGCGCCTAAGTGAGCGAGCGAATGAGTGAAGGGGAGTGAGAAACGTAAACGGGGCGGAAAAGAGAAGCACGAAAGTGAGACGGGAGAAAGGGAGTCACACCAACTTGACACACACCGCAAGGTAAAAACTGGGCTTACCCGAGCTCCACATTGAGCCTTGTATGTGGATATGCAGAGAGATACTGTGCTCAGATAAATGGGGAGGGTTATCCATCGAAGCAGATTTTTGCGTGTGTCTGCAATTGCAGCCTTTACCATGAAAATAATAATACTATTAACTATCGTTATTATTACATAGCCCCCCTCTAGGATTTGATCAGATACAACGAGCTGCCTAACAGGCATATGTAGACATCAAGAAAGGGGGAGCTGCAGATCAGAGTTGTATAGCCCTCGGGACCTAGAGGCTTCCCTCGTTTTTTTGTGTGAGCGAGCCAATCGTGGCTACGGTAAGCAAAGTTGGCATCGCTGGGTGTGGAGAGAACTTCTTCCCTCAGTGCGAAATGTTTTTTCGTGGTTGGATGCAACCATCAGAGGGAGTACGCGAGAGGAACTCGTTCAGGAAAGTACCAGAGCTGCGCAGCGCATCGCAAATAGTGGACGAAAAGCCCGCGACACGTGAGGTGGTGTTAGTTCGTGTCATTCGCGTGAGCGTGCAACTGCCATCAGCTTGGGCTAATGGGCAAGTAGTGATGATGTCGGGAGTGAGTGAGAAAGAACACGCCCCCGGTCTTGAATAAGCCCGAGTGAAATCGAGTGCATACTCACGAAATGACCCTTTGGAGTGATCGAGCAGGTGTGAGGGGAAGCGAGGGATAACTTGAACTTACCACGAATTTCGCCGAACTTGGCTGCAAGGGCGCCCAAGAGTATTTGACTCCCAATCAGCAAATTTCACTTGTAGGGTGTGTTGGTGAACGAGCGGCAAAGTAGCCTTGATAGCTAGCGGAAAAGAGAAAGGAAGATAAGTTGGGATGGGCATGAGTGAGAGGATGTGCGAGGGTGAGTGAAAACCCCAGAAGGAGCGACAGGGGGCACGAGCAAGAGAGAGGCTGAAAGGTGGTGGGTACACGCAAAGAGAGATGGCGTGTGATCGAGAATGAGCCCTTGGATTCGTCTTGTTTCATCCCGATTGAAGTGGTGAGGGAGTAGCACCGTGGTTGAGAACTTCAAAGTGCGAACAGTGAAGAAGAGAGTTGAAAAGCATACAAGAGAGGAGCCTTACGAGCGTGAGGGAGAGAAAGAATGTGAGAGAGAGGGGGAGGGGCGAAGCTAGAAGGTGAGACATATCACTCCCTCAATCTCGAACCGCCTGGAACCGGAGCAGCAAGACCCCAGGGGCGACGTCGCAGGGAAGCGACATACGCACGCACCTAACAAATAAGAAGGAAAAGCCTAGAGGTCGCAGGCCAGCAGGTGACCGTTTTCTGTTTTCGAGAGAAACAAGGAGACTAACCGCGGACAGACGGTTGAGATCTGGGCTATCAATTGAAGATCGGTCCCCATAGGACTCAAGTTGGCTGAAGAGAAAACGAATCAACCATTGGGATTGACATTCGGACAATGTTTCGACATCATCAAGTTGGTCACGAACGTGGCTTCAGAGACCACAACGCGAGCCATGACATAGTGATCTAGGACAGTTCCTGCTCCTGGCGGATTATGGTTGAGAATGACGAGAGCATGAAAGTGACCTGCCGAGGTTGATGCTCGCACTGGGCTCGTTGGGCCAAACGAAGGCGAGCTTTTTGCCACCGAAGCTATTTGTAAGTGATGGACTTCGTATAACCCGACGGAGAAGTCACTAACTAGCTGAAACGGGAATAATGGTTAGCAGTCACTCGCGCTGAGGTTGGCCAACTCTTCGTAGCTTGCCTTGTAAATGAATGACTGACAATCAAAAAGACAATAGGATACTCCTATTTTCCCAAAATTTCGTTTTGCTAGTTGTCAAGGTCTATGACATGATCACCCGGTTCTAAGTGAGGGCTGGTCACGCTCATAATTGCACACTACCACAAAAATTGTACTCCTATTTGGGAATTCATTGGGTAATTTATTTTGAATTCGACTTAGCTATTTCTGATGCCAGGCCCTACAGCCAGACTGTAGGAATGGGGACAACGCATCGCCCCTAAGTGTAGGTCAAGCATCCTTGAATCAGCACTGCCCCTTCATGATCGCTCTGTTTCGTGACTGTTTAAAATAAAAAATAAAAAGAAGGGTGAAAGAAAACCTCTCTACTGAAAAATTTGAACTTAGCCATGGAGGCAGGGAGCTAATACGTCGTTCCAAACATCAGCTTGACAGACTCCAATAAGCCAGGGCGGCCATGGTGAGCGAAACTGCGAATCTCTGATGATAAAAACATTGCAATTGGCCTATTGAACTGGCTTTGACCAAGAACAACCTGTAGGAAACATAAAGATAGCAGGAACCCCTACAGGGGCTTTCGAGAAATGTTATTTGAAAGGTTGCAGAATCCCCAGCGAAGCACCATCCCTAGGTTGGGATTCAGATACTCGAGGGGCTCTGCAAAATGAAGGGTTTGGTCAGTCGGGATTCCGACATATCACGTTTCTGACAATGTGGTGTTAATCCTAAGACAACCATTCAATCTGAAAATGCAGTGGAACCATCCGTGAATTATGACATGGACATTGCGTGAGAAAATTCCAGGGCGGACTATTGGAGTTTGATTGGTTTCCTGTATTCTTCTCCCTAGTAAGCATGAGTTCCCTAACTCCGGTTGATCCGCTAAAACACTCACCAGTGTCAGGTGACCTTCAGTAAGGGTAGATGGGTAGTTGTGAATATATATCTGCGAACTTGAGACCCTCTTGAAGGGAGTCTGAGATTGAAACCTTGGTTGATCGCTGATCCGCGCCTAACACATAGTCGCGTTATTTTGCTCTAAATTTTAAGACCCTCCTCTTACGATCAATTAGCAGGCAATAGAGAGGCGCTAAACAGGCAGCGCAAACTTCAATGCCATGCTGGTCGTTGAGGACCTTTGACGTGGGCGCAACGCATGACAGACGATGTTGGCTCTTGCTTCAGCGAGCAGTAGGTGACCCCTCCTCGGGTTTCCGCACAACGTGCCGTATCAGGAGACTCCCCTATCGTCCTCTCTCTTTGGGTCTGTGTCCCCATCTCGCCTGCCGCCCCGTCCCTCGATGGCGCCCAATCAGTCGATGTCGACCCGCCGCAACTAGGGGGAGCGCCCATCGACATGTTAAAGTCGAAGTGGGGCCCCATCTCTGAAATTTGCCACCCTGTGGGAGGAGACATCCCCAGCCCCTTCGCCATACCCGAGGTGAAACCCCCCACGACTGGATCGAGCTCCTCCATGATAAATTGTTGCATTAGGTGCTCCTCAGCGTCATCACTGTCCTCAATGGCGTCTGCACCATCATGCTTCATATAAACGTCTGGCACCACCGCCGTTGGTGCTGCCTCCTCCTTCCCCTCCACTATTGTTGCAGTTCGAACCTCCTCCTCCTCGGTCGCCACTGCTTGTACCTCCTTCTCCCTCTCCACTGCTGCTGCTATCTCCCCCTCCGCTGTTGCTGCAGCTGGCACCTCCTCCTCCCCCATCGCCATTGCTGGTACCTCCTCCTCCGATGCTGCTACCTCCCCCTCCACCGCTGCCGCTGCCGTGACCTCCTCCGCTCGGGCTGGTCCCCCCTGTCCGTCGGGGTCGCACAGTGACCAACCTCCTCCTGCAAGACCCCCGGGGAAAGTGATCGTAACCTCAGCTGGCGGACCACCGTAGATCTCTACAGAGGTCTGTGTTGAGGCAAGGAGGATGCCAACTCCCCCGTCTCCGCCGTTGTTGTGGCCGACTGAAGTGGCGGGACAAGCGATGGGGGTGCATGACTCGGAGCAAGACGTGGTGGAATGGACGACTCTCGAGTCTCTCGCCGCCTCGGAGTAGGAATCGTCCTCCCCGCCTTTGCGCGGCTCGTGCCTACATGAGAGCCCCCGACTTTGTCATCACGCACATCAGCCGTGGAAGCCACCTCCCCGACAGGGCCACAACAATCCTCGTCTCCCCCCATCATATGCCTCTCCACTCGGTCCGCCGCCCGTCGTGCGGTGTATGTCCTCGTCTCCACGACGTCGGCATCCTCGTGCGTCTCGTCCATTTCGTGAGGAATGGGGAGCGCAAGGTCATCTGCTGCCTTGGTGCGCGCTCCTCATCCGAGTCATCCTCCCTGGGACACGGACGAAAACTGCAAGCACGTCTATCAAAAACAGCATCAGTAGAGGGCGGTGCGGAAGTCCCGATGAGATCGTGCGTAATAAGCGCAACCTACTGGGCAATCTCCTCCTGCGTCATCCCCTTGCGCATGCCCGTCCGCACCGGCTCCACCTCGAGTCTTGCCCGACTATCGAGCATGCCCTCATACCGATACCATGGCAGCACATAACCGCATCCCGCCCGTCGATACTCTATCAACTGCACATTTGCGGTGATCTCAACGAGTTGCACGACCTTTTCAAAATGTCAACTTGTTGTGCTTCTTCGTGTGGATGCCCTCGTGGACTGTCCAGTTCCTCTCCACTGGAGAGGCGCATGACCACATATGCATCACACGAAGAGCGCACCGCTGCAACTCAGGCGCGCCAGCCTCGTACTGGGACCACCAAGATGTGCACTCGATCATCTCGGCGTCACCGCTACACGCGCGACCACGAGCATGCCCCTCTGCCCCACCCTAATCACCAAACCTGCCCTGCTGCATGTGAATGTTCTCAAACTGCCAACAGACAACGATGTGATCAACACCGTCCAACTTGAAACCCATCTGCGTCAGAATGTACCTTTTGGCTTGCCTCACAAGCCAAGCATGGTACTTCGCCACCCTGCCTGAAAAGTATTGAACATGTTGCCTACGGGGGTTCTGTAAGAACCCAGCGCAGTGAGTCGGCTCAAGCATATGCTGTGTGCGGGCCTACACACGCCTAATGATCCGGTCTGCGAAGGACTGGCCCAAAGGAGTGCATGCGTCCTTCACACGGTGGGCGAGATCCTGTGCCCACTCGACCATGAGCGACTTCAGTTGCCCTCCATCCATCTGCCTAAGCAACTGCATGACGGGCTCGTTGATAAGGACGATGGTTGCCACCCTTTGCCACCAAGGATCCCATCTGATCTGTCAGTGCACCCAACGCGCCATGTAGCATACATCCGCGGACCACGGGATAGAAGCAAAAGCCCGCGAGTCATCCCCTCGCATCATGCCCTGCAAAGTATCCTGCAGAGTCCGCTGCCTCTCCAACATGGAGTAAACAGACGCAAACCACGTCTCGCACGAAAGAACAAACCCTGTGTTGGGGCTGCTCTTCCTAAAAAAATGAAGGGCGGCCCGGTGGGTTTTGAAGAACACCACCAGCACACGAGCGTGTGTAATCGTATCCACAAATGCGTCGCAACTCGTCCCCATGTCTGACAACAATTTGTTGCAAACATGGACGGAGCATGGGAGCCAAGTGATCCTCCTCAGTGCAAGAGGCATGGTCGTCGAGGCCATTGCCCTTGCAGGCCCCACGTACGCTGAAGCGAAGTCAGTGCATATTGCAATGACCCGCTGTAGCCCACCGAACCAGAACTCGTGGAAGATGGTGACCCATCTCCGAAGAACGTGCTCTGCATCGTCCAGATCGTCATATACATGACGACCCCTCGCGAGCCTGCAGTAAAGAAATTCACAATCGGTCTCCCGTCTCGTGATTTCCTCCCGTCTGAGAGGATGGTGGCACCAGTCACCCAGAATGGTTGTTGCACTTCCTCTGCCAACTCTGCACGGTGGGTCTCCACCGCCTGCATGCTCGCAATCTCGCTGTGGCTGGGGAGCACAGCGCACAACGAACTGCCAGGCTGCTCAAGAAACACTTGTTGATATGTTTTTCATGCCTCGTTGTGAAAGGCATTGAAGGAGACTCCGCTGGAATAAAGTCAACGAATGAAGGCATTCTTGTAGCGAGCAACCCACTCGTCACCATAGACCTCGGTCACCTTTTGCTGACGAAGCCTTTTTCCAGCTTGGGTGGTAACCTTATCAGCTCTTTCTTCCTTCCTCTTTGAAGGAACCTCCCCCCCTGAGACCGTCCATTGCACGCACCTCTCCTTTGCCTGCTCGCCTCTACCAGTCAACGATCCTTTCTCGGTGACTGGATGAAAATCTGGCATGTCCTATTGTCCCGGGAATCCCTCCTCGCCCGGGCCACATGCCTCGCAATCGTTGTGGATCACGTTGTCGGGACCTGTGGGTCCCAAAACAAGTCATGACCCTTAAGACATGGTATATGGAGGAAATATGCACGACAGAGAAATTAGGAGGCAAGAGAAATAGGAAGGATGGAAGGCTAAGGCATGATTGTCGGCGTCTAGAGGCCTAGCGAATGCACTGGGCTGACGGAGCCACTAGACCAATAATAGATCAGGAGAATGGTAAGCGGTAAAGGGCCGTGAGAGAAAAATAAAGTCGGTCCTCCTTCCCGAAACAAGAGGGACCGCCGAGAAAAATAATGCCTTAGGCTGCGCGCCGCAGAAAGAAAGGTATCGAGAAGGTCAGAAAAATAGTGTTGGGGCACGACCACATGAGAACGTAGCATGAGGCCGAAGAGGCCACCGGTGTGCGGCATGAGAAGGGTCAACGGGCCATGAGCTGAGTAAAAGGGCGCGACATACCACAAGAGAAAACCGGAACCCTGAGAAAAAGAGCCTTGACAACCACGAGACACTAGAGAAGAAAGACCCTAGCATGACGGACATCCACGACAACTAGCGGGAACCGCGGGATTGGAGGTCGGGAAGACCGACGTGCGTGAGACATCGAAAGAAACTAGAAATGAGGCAGCCATGGGGCGGGGAAAAAGTCAAGAGAGACCGGGACACCATGAGGAAAGGTGTCGGGGACCATATGGGACTAAGTAAAATAATGGTATTTCAACAGGCATTTCGTTAAAATTGACATTTTTTACTATTTTCACGAAATTGAACTTCCAAAAAAGCACAGTATTTTTTGACATTTTTTTGCGCCGACCACATGAGACCATTGATGGTCCGGCGTCCCCAGGACGCCGGACCATATGATATGCCTCAATTTTTTTTCTTTTTTTTTTAACCCTCAGATGTATTTTGACGGTACTTTACGATGCGATACATCAGATGGTCCAGAGTCCCCAGGACGCCGGACCATCAATGGTCCAATGTCGTGGGCACAAAAACACACTAAAAAACTCGGTTTTTCTTGGATGCCAAATTTCGTGAAAATAGTAAAAAATGTCAATTTTAACGAAATGCTAGTTTTTCGGGACAAATATCAGTGGAACCACCGGTCGGACAAGTGTCGGCGGGACCACCGGCGGGACAAGTGTCGGGGACAAGAACGAGACAAGTGTCGGGGACTAGCGTGGGACAGGTAGCGGGGACTTATGATGTCCGAAGGAAAAGTCGTGGAGGACCATGGAAAATAATATGTTCAAAACAAGGTGTGCCGTCAAGATTGAGATCTAGACTACCAAGAATGTTAGTTTCACTAGTGCAAGCACTAGTGGAAGCAAACAAGAGGACCAAAAAGAAAAAAGAGAGCAAAAGAAATTGAGGAGAGGGGCATGGTAGCAATCCGAGATATCCTGGATCATCCTAAAGAGGCTTCGTGTGAAAAATAGGCCTCCGGGAGAAAATCAGTGTAGAAGGGGTCACACTTCGGAATAATAGTAGGCAAAATGAGGCTCTCATGGGCATTGAGAGGAACCACAGTTGCAGCATGAGAAATCAAGGACTGCACTTTGGGCATAGGAAGGGTCAAAACCTAGAGGAAGAGCCTAGAAAAGGCCTTAACAGCTAGTTGACACTTGACATAGTAGGAAAAAAAAAAAAAAAAAAAAAAAAAAAA